GGGGGGGAGGTCGAGGCGCCGGCAACGGAGCGTCGGCGGTTAAGTGTTTGTCGGAAGGATAACTCCAAGGAGACCACTCAGTCAGCTCTACACGAGTAGTGGCTAAGCTCATCGGGCAATTCTGTTTGACGGCTGTAGCACTCTATCTGCGGCGTTTCCGACAGACGTGACACCTGGTTTGGACACCTCCGTTTTCCGTTTTCGAGGGGGTAATATCGCGGTCGAGTAATTTTAACTGTCTGCCGCGGAAGGGTTTTGAGTCAAGCTGGCATTTATTGGTAGAAATCCTCCCCCTTGAAGGTGGGACGGGTCTCCAACGCGACGCCGGTGCCTTTTGCATCTCATCCGTGCTGACTGTGTGTTTTGTGTTTTTTGCACGAACTGTTCTTTGCAGGTGATTCCGGGGCAACATTTCCCCGACCTTGATCTAACGACGACCCTCATGCAACCCCGTTGGACACCCAAGGACTTGCTGAAGTGAGGATTTAGTTCCTAACCACCCTTTTGTTATCAGTGGTATGTCCGCTGTGGTTGTCGTTTTTTGTTGACGTTCCATGTGGTTTGATTGGTGCTGAAGGGGGTCGGCGTTGCTGTGGACACAGACAGGGGTTGTGTGTTTGTGCTTATTGGTACGTGGGGTCGGTCATTCGTATTTTTCGGCGACGTTCCCGGTGGCGTTGTTGCCCTTGTCGGGGCTACGGTTGCGGTCTTTCTGCGTCGGAGACTGTTCCTGCTGTATACCTACGATTTCCGAGTCGGGACCGGGGGTGCATAACTCGACGTGGCTGCACGACCTGGCTTCTGTCACACGCCTCTCGGCCGTGCACGCGCGCATGACGCCCCCACCTCTCCCCCCGATTTTGTCTCCACCTTCGCATTGCCCTCCATTGTGTTTCTTATTCTCGCGTTGCGGTACGAGTTCTCGCCCCTGCCTTGTGTACGTTTCCCCCCCTTGTTTTGCCTTCCCCGTCAATCTGCGCCCGCAGTGCCCCCCCCCCCCCCCCCCCCCCCCCCCCCCCCCCCCCCCCCCCCCCCCCCCCCCCCCCCCCCC